CCCGCGCGCCCTCGCCCGCCCCCGCCCTGCCTGCTCCTCGGCCCTTTCCTTTCTTGTGGGTTCCCGTAAAGCCCAGCAGCACCGAGACGTCTGCAGAGCATCACGGAATCTGTGCTGATGCAAGTCGCTAGCCTCCCTTTGGTGCGCCTGGCCCGCCTCGGGGCGCTTTGATCCCGGTCTTCCCCAGCTCCAGAACTTGGGCTGGTTGGTTCTGCCCGCCGGGAGGCCTGCGTTCTGCGGCCTGCCCTCACCCTTCGGTCCCCGCCGAAGCGCCAGACACACAGAGCTGCGCCCTGGTGCTGCGGGGACTGGCCGTATGGTCTGGCTGATGCCTCAGCCAAACGGTGAATGCCAAACCGAGAATTCAACCCCCAAGCCCAGTTTATTGCCTCCTTCTTGGGGAATCATTTTTGATCACCCGGTTAGAAAGGGTCCTCTGGCTCCCTGGAATAACATACTAAGAATAGAGGCCATGTTCCTGACCAAGAGTCAGGCACCAGGCCCATTACTTTAAGGGATTGTCTCGTGCGAGGTGGGTATTATTCCCTGGTTGCAGATTAAGAGAGTGAGATTAAGTAACTTGTCCAGGAGGTTTGGTTAGTGGATTAGGGATCCAGTTGGAAATGCAGCTGGGCCTGTATGACACCAGCTTCTTCCTCTTCTTACCCAGGACACTGCATGACCTGCCTCCTCCTGGCATGTCTTTGTTTCTCTCTTAATGGTCTCTGGAAAGCATGGACTTCACTTGGCACATGACTTTGTCCTACACTCACAGGTGCTCCTTAATTCTCAGCTGAATAAACAGCCTAGCATCATGGCTCAGCTTAGGGAAAGGTCATGTCAGGTATGAGAAGCAGAGGAGAGAGAAGAGGGATGGGGGAAGAGGATTGCTGGGGGCTGTCTTCTCACTGTCTCTCTGGGTCTCTGCTCCCTGCCGGGCATGGCTGTTGCTTCTCCTCCTTTATCCCTCCAGCCCAATATTTGGTCCCTGACCTGAATCCCAGAATGGCTGCCTGCTCTGGGCTGCACTGGCCCACACATTTGAGTGCTGGACAGTCCGTGAAACCTTTCACATACATGGCCTCCCTTGTCCTCACACAACATCCCTGCCAGGGACGTGACAGCAGAGGGGTTGACTCTGGATGGCCAAAGAGGAGGCCAAGGAACAGAATGGCAAGGCAGCCTACTCAAGATGTCCCAGCCTGTGGGTGTCAGAGCCTGAGCTCAGAGCCATCCCACCTGACTTGACACCCAGTGCTCTGCACGTCACCTATGCTCCCAGCCTTGATGGGCCAGAAGCAAACTCCATGTCTTAATGATAAATGGTCCTCTCTGCATCATGCCTAAGCAAATCTGCCATTATTTCTCTGTAGTAAGCAATATATTTTGATGATCTTTGAACATTTCCGAAAGCCGGTGTCTCTTATAATCAATGACTGTTTAATATGGAAGCATTTGTGTTTGTCCAAAGATCTCTGGATCAATCAGGAATCTATCGGGAAACAGACTTCAGCCCAGCTGGCTCAAAGGAAGAGGCTTTTATGGAGAATCTCCGAATAGAGATGGGGGGCAGGGCTAAGCGAGCAAGGGACCTTGGCACCCAGAGCCTAGTAAGGGCTGGAAACTGTGACCACCCCTAAGATGGAGAAGGAGAGGAAACAGTGTTATTAGAGCCTGGTGGGCCCTGGTGCCAAGGAAGTGGGCCATCAAGCAGGACCGAGAGAAGCAGACACTGGCAAAGAGTGCTGGGGGGTGGCGGCTAGGGAGGGAGGCCAGACCCCTCTCTCTCATCCCCTCACCCCATGTCTAGCCAAAGGTAGTCAGTCCACTAAGGTCAGTCTCCCAGGACATACAGAAGGACAAAGAGGGTGAACAGTGGGTCCGGTGGGGGTGGGGTGGGGGAGGCACACGCAGCAAACTGGGGAGTAATCAGTATTAAGATGCTGTTAAACCTAGGTGTATCTTCTCATGGGTGGCATTTCAGGATGGGGGGCGAATGCAAAGCAATCAGTGGGTCCCACACCTCTCCCTGAGTGGGGATGAGCGTCAGAATAGCCTGCACGGCTTTTTCAAACTGCACCTCCCCTCCCTTTAAACTTTACAGCTACACTGAGCCACTAATCCTAAGGGAATGTATCCTCTCCCTCAGGTGTGGGGGCAGAAGACAAGTTGGGAACCATGGATCAAAAGATATCAGCATCTGGGGGAAAGAGCCCAGTGAATAAGCAATGTTGGCTCCCTCCCCTGTGGCCTCCTTTAAATTCCAAGGAGGACCCTCCCAGCTTAAGTGTTCTGAGATGTGGCACGTACCTCCACCCACCCTGATTCCCATTTCATGTACAGGACATACGCTAATGAGAAGAAATGGAAACAAGGACATCCAGAAACCCTCACTCTAGAGGCCACCATAATAGTAATATTAAAACTGCAATGTGCTGCATCGGGCTGACGGTCCCATGTTAAAAGATTCATCAGGCTCTACCCTAAGATGAGGGCACTTTATTCA